TATGAACTCAACTCATAAAACTCACTTTGCGAGCAACAATAATTAGCATTAATTCAGAAACAAAGTATGGCTCTGTCTGTTTTTGTTTTATGTGATGAAATAAATAAACTAACAGCGGCACAAAAATATCTATAATAACTGGCGTATTTCGAAAAGTTGTTCCCGGATTCCGTAAAACCATCAAAGCAATTAATGAAACCTAACCGCAATATCTACAGAAATATTTGGGAATCTCCCTCCTTCTTTTATATTAGTTTATTTCCCAAAAAAGTATATGGTTCGCCCCTACTGATAAAAAATGTGTCAGAAATGCAGTTGAAATATTTTGTGGTTTCTCTCTTTGCGGTTGTCCCTCTGTAAATGATAATGCTATCGAGAACTGTCCAATGGCGACCCGAAACCACTCACACACTCTGTGTGAAGTGGCCAGGGACATGGCTCCATGCCCATTCCCACTCCCATTTCCTCCTCTCGTGGTCCATTTGCGAAAGCCCGACGCCTGAGCCTGAAGCGTTAAAATCTTTTTTCCTTTTTGCATTTTAATTGAATTACACGGGTAGGCAGGAGAAGGAGAAGGAGCTGTGCTTGTTCGAGGACGGAGTGCACCACCGAGCTGGTTCGAGGTGCAGGAAAAAAGAGTTCCTGGTCGCGTGGTCGCTTCGAGCCATAAATCTGTAACTGTTTGCTGTACTTGACACATTTCGTAGTTGGAACTGAAGTTGCCCCGTTTTGTGGCGAGTAAACCAAATGTTGTTGCCAGCTAAGTATTTGCGTAGGTGGTGTGGTGTGTTCACTGTACACAAGTACATACATAACATCGAATATGTAAAATTGTATATTTGAGAGCCGCTGCAGGCCTCGTGTCCATTACAACTAAACTTAAGCTTAAACATTAATAAATATTCAATGGGACGATGAATGGCAAAACACTCTATGGAAAACTCCCACTTTGAACCTGGGAGTTTGGGCGGGCATCTAGATATGGTAAATGATTATCATTAGAGTTAAATGTAGATGATTTTTGGTAAATTTAACTGTAAATGCGTTAAGCCATTGAATGGAGTTAGGTAGAGAACCAAGCACCAACCTTAAACCAGAAGGCCACCTGTGCCACGCCACCGTGAACCATTCATTCAAGTGGAAGACACAAGACGAATGCAGCAGCCACAGCAGCAGAAGAATCAGCAGCGATTGCATTGTTCCAATGGTTCATCATTCATTTGTTTACATCGCATGGAATGGTACAGCAACGGTCAATCAAAAAGGTCCAATCACATATACATTGCGTAATGGGTTCGATGCCACCATTTCGTTTCCAATTCCATGCCCAGTGTTGTCATCAGTTGTTGTGTTGTAAAGTGTGTTTTTTGTGGAATATTCAATTAGATAAAATTCCCAGAGCACGACAATTTAATTCAAATAGAAAACAAATTGAATTAATAATTAAAAAAGAAAATGTAGTGGTTTTTTGTTTTGTTTTGCTGGTGTGGTTTTGTGGCTGTCAGTTCGCATAACATGCCGCTTGTACAACTACAACTTTGTATATGTATATGTACATATGTATGCATGTGGATTGCATTTTCATTTCTGACACATCCTTTACATATTACGCATACGCAATTGTTCAGGGCAGATGATTTTGTACATTATGAGAATATTTTTAGGCTTGATTATATTTTGGCATGCCAGATATACGCATATTCAAACGCTTCAAATCATGACCTTTACATGCATGCCCCAGATGATACATATTTACATATGTATGTATGTATTTATGTATGTATATTTGTATCATTCATACGTGTACACTGTTCCCATCAACTGGGTTTACTTGCTCTCTTTCAATCGAGTGTAGGGACCGCCACTACACTTGGCCTGCCTATCGGCGGCATCTTTATTGTTCAGAACAATGGCTGAACCTCAAGTAGAAATTCGCTCCCTCTTGCAGGGTCGACTGTGGGGTTAAATTATCCACAAAAGTATGTGACATTTCTTAAAAGGAGGAGCCACAGAGCACCGAGGACACAACAGGAAGAAGGGGAGCGGATGACAATGTTGCAAGTTAAGTTCTTGCCGGAATTAACGGTTCAATGGAGAGACAGAGATTCAAAGATAGGCACACACACACACCATAACTAGGTCTCTATGCCACTTAAGCTCAAGAGCGAGAATGGGACCCAGAAAGGGGCACCACCCAGTCGCTGAAAATGATGTCGTGCGTGCCCAAACTATGCAGCATCATTAAATCTAACGAGCGTCAAGGGTTTAAGCGCAGACAGAATGCCCTGCGAAAATGTCTACATTTTCCATGGCATTAGGAAACTTTTGATAGAAACATCACTGCGCAAAGGATGTGGCTGCTACTCGTGTTACCCATTAACTTGGCCTAATTGAGGGATTACCCATTATATCATGGCCTAATTGCCATTGCTCGGGCTCTTTTCGGCAGCGGACAATTTCCAGCCAGTTTCAAGCGTTTTCTCAATTGAATCAAGTCGTGCTCTGCTCCGGTCATAAATCTGAACCACGACAAGTCCTTAGGGGGGTAAGCTGACCACATTTCTTATTTCCTTGCGGCTAAAATGAATTTCTCGCTTTAAAGAACCCGCTTTACGCCGCCTGACTGTCACTTTGCCTGCCGCTTCATGCACTCTAGCCTGTCAAGGGGTTCCTTACTGTCTCTGCTTTCGATTAAAGATACTTTTAGCACAACTTTATCTGCAGCTTAAGAAGTTTTTGTCAGCGTTGGAATTTATTGATGGCATGGCAGAGGAGCAGTCCAATTGAAACATAAGGGAATAGATACAACAAGAATAGGATGTCGTAAAGAGACCATTACCAATTATTCCTCTGAGATATACCATACAATTCTTAAGAGTTAAACATTCTCTGACTCTCACTTTAGCAGCATTCACTTGTGGGTCTCGGGTCTTACATTGTCACCAGTTGGTTGCAATGAAGTGTACACCAAATAATGTGTTAATCAACCAAGAAACCATTTTGGCTAAGATCTGCTTACTGGTTCCTTATCTGGCAAAGTGGTTTAATAACTAAGCCTCTAGCCATAGCCACGACCATATCCACAGAGCCCTGAGCATTACATGGAAAACAACTTAAATGGAAACCGGTACGTATCGCCCACCCAGAAAGAAACACAAATACAACTCGTACTGTACAGCAGCAGATCATAGAAAAAAGCTTCGCTTTTGAGTGGATTGAATTTGATATGATTAGCAGGCGGAAGTGAACTCCAAGAGGCCCACCCACACCCTGCTCTAAAGTGTAGCACTGACTGATGGATTGACACTCCGAGCTGACTGATGGATGGATTGATTGACGCACTCTGGTGCTGTGTGCAATGTAAAGCTGAAGCAACCCTCGCCGATGGCCTGATAAAGGACAGGCAAATAAATACTTTTCTTTGGCCATAAATGTCTGATGAAACCAGATAATGGTTGAGAATCCGATCAAAATGTGTCGTTGGTCTTTGACTCCGTTCTTCAGTTCCTGGCTATCACAAAACGAAGCAACACCTCAATTGAGGTGCAAATATTTGCACCATGATGCCATGAATTGTATTCTTTATGGCACCGGCCACGAGTATGTACATAGATATAAATAGCTCTCTCCCGCTCTTCTTTCTGTGCTGTAAAGCCGCGATAAGATATGCGACCTGCCTGATGATTGATTTATATGTAGCTATGTATATTTTCATATCTGTGAGGCCAGGAAATGGGCTAAGAACCTGATATGCTTTCCAAAGATACAAGAACTCAAGTGAAAAGATAGTCTTTACTTAAATATGCAAAGAATTCACGCTATATACACACAAAGAGTCCAAAAGAGCGCACTGGGTTCCCACACCGCAAACACACTGCACAGAATTTACAACATAATTCACCAAAAAGCGAAACAGACACCACTAAAACCACTCCATCGCCATCGCCATCGCCATCGCCAGCCCAGCCCCCATGTCCCCGGTTGCCACTTGCTGACTTGGCCCGAAAACAGAACCGGGACCAGGCCATGCAATTAGCTGGAGGTCATTGTGTTTCGGATCAACCGAGTTCACGTTGAATGTTCAGCACAGTTCAGTTTCGGTCCAGTTTCCGTTCGATTTGCAATGGTTTTGCGGTTCCAATAACAGAATGGGCGCGGCCTGGCTCGGTCCGGCCCCCGCATCGGCTCTGACATTGTTTGGACAACGATTTGTCCAGCAATTTGTTATTAAATGTGTACGAATCGATTATCCATTGTTTGGGCGTTAATTAACACAGGAAGAGCGACAAAGGATTGAGCCAGAAGGGTTTGCTGAAGCGGACGTTTCGTTTCCGTCATGGAAAAACCTAATATCCCCTAAAGGGTACTGTGACAAGTGATCCACGGTGAAAGAGGATTAGTATCGACAGTGGAAATAGTTTTAAATCCACGGTATCTGCAGCTCTATCAAGTCAAAGTTCTCTCTCTCTCTCTCTCTCTTTGCGACTCTGGAGTTTCCCTTGACAGGCGGACTGCCATTCAACTGTCAAATATCTCTTCTATCTGCAGCGTCACGATTTTCCGGGCACGACTCTGGCCGTCCGGTCCGGTCTTGGGTCTTGATTGCATTGAACTTCAAAATGAGGACTTTGCAGGGGCGTGGCCCAGCTTTAAGGGCACGTGGCAGCTTCTGGCTTGGATGCAATGCCAATAAATGAAAGGCTGCATTTATTTGTTTGCAAATTGATTTATTCCCACCATCGTAGAAGAAGTCAGCCTGCTTCTATGAAGAAATTAAGAGTATTAGCCATATATGCTGTTCATACCAAGAGGCATCGATATGTGTATGTGTATCTAGCTATGGCTGACTAGAGATTATCCTGCTATTAGGTTACGCGAGTTTCGACACACAGGAGTTGCCACCTGACTTCTGCACAGAGTAAGTTCGCTTCGCTTTGAAATTTCATGAAATGCAATTCCCTTCTTTTTGAGGTCAACTGAGCTTTGAATTTTAAGTTTTTAATCAAAATTACATTGAGTTTCATTTCTGGCATAGAATCTTCTCACAGAGGATGTTGTTTAAGAAGTGCTGCTTCTTTTTGTCGCTGGACAGTGGCTGCTTCATCATTGCCCTGTTCTTTTTGAGCTTCCACCTGGGCGAGATGATTACCCACTCCAACGATTGCCTTTTCGTGAAAAATACATCCCAAAAGAGCTGGGCAGTCATCCTGATGGCGGGAATCCTAACAATGGGCATCATCTCCTCCGGATTGCTAATCTACGGTGCCAAAAGGGTGGGCCCCAGTCCAGTTCGGTCTTAATAGTCTGATAACCTTTTCTTTTGCTTCATTTTAGAAACGTCAAGGACCCGTCCGCTTCTGGCTGACTGTCTTTACAATTATTCTGTTTTTGTACATCATTTTGTGCATTATCGATATCATTGTAGAGAAACCGCCAGCGAGTGCCATCGTCGTGCAGATATTGATCATTGGTGAGATCATTGATGCCATGTAATATCTGTTCCATACCTAATGAATATCCCTTACAGTTGCATTGATCTACTCGCTAATGGTGGTCCACTCCTTCTACAAGGCTCTTGGCCGCGCAAGCGACGACGATCCGTTTATCCCCTGATTAGCATCCTTGTCTGTTCTCCGTTTTACCAACAAAATATACGAGTATATTTAGTACCCTGGAGTTTTAAGTCAGATTTTCACAGATTTTTCGAGTAACAGACACGAGTATGTCCCAAATTGGAGCATGTTATTGAGAACATGTTGCGGTTGCTGTAGCTTGAGGTACGGATGCTTCATGGTTGCCATCTACACGGCCCTCACCTATATGCTGCAGCTGGTGGCCCTGCTGATGTATGGATTCATTGAAGGTGGCTAGGTATGATTCTCCAGCGGCTGTGCAACCATCACTGATCACTGATCCTCCCTCACGCCCATGCTCACACAGAGTACGCCGAGAGCCAGATCTTCTACTTTCTTCTGTCTGTTCCCTGCGCCATCGGTGTGGCCGTGTCCATAGTCCTGTTCGTGGGCGCACTGAAGAAAAAGAAAATTCTCTTGTTCCCCTGGCTGATAACCTTTGGCGTAATTTCGATTGTCTTTATATTGGCTCTAATCGGCAGCTTTATTGCGGGCTATACCCAGGACGATGTGGAGGACAATCAAGTTGGCTCTGACTTCATACGACGACCCTTCATACAGGCATTCAACCTGCGTGAGTATTGGGCACTACTCGCTGATATTTAGAACTCCGATTTAAGATTTAATTCCCCTCATAGTAGTGCATTTGTATGCCTATTTGGTCGTCTTCTCCCACTACTTTGAACTGAGGAATGAGAACATTTTTTGATCAAGTAGCCAATCATCTTCCCATCTCCCCGCCTGTCAACAATCTCTATCTAAAATGTTTTGTTTTGGTTCATTCAGTAGAAGAACATAAAGCCTCTCACACACTAAAAATTAATAATAATAAAAATTGAAATTGTTTCCCTTAAAATAATTCCTTGAGCAACAGTAACAGCTACCAAAGATGGCCTGTCATTGCAAGTATCTGAAGAAGATATTCTCCAGCTGCTGCTTCTGCTATGGGCTGCGCACCGGGACACTGCTCTTTGGTTGCATCTTTCTCACGTGGTTCGTTTACATCGTGGCCGGCACCGCCTTCATGATGGAGTGCATCTTCCCCAATGAGTACCAGGAGAAGACACTCGTCGCTCCGGCAGCCCTCAAGACAACGATGGTCTTCTCATTCTTTGGCATTGTCGCAGCCGCCCTGCTCTGCATCGGAGTGCATAATGTGAGTAGGGAGAGAATCGACCCTTATCCAGCCACATGTTAATGCTTCATTCGCAGAACAACGAAATGCTCTTCACGCCCTTTCTAATCTTCACACCAATTTGGATAGGGGTGCACCTTTTGGTCCTGATCATGTACCACCTGGTCCTGGTCATAGTTCTACTGACAATTGTCACATCGGGTAATAATCTGCATATGGCTACATATTCGTAGATTTCTAATTACATTTCGTTCACAGGTTTACTGATCTACGCCTGGCTGGTTATATTTTCCTACTACGTTGAGCTGATCTACGCCTACGATGAGGAGCTGCCACCAGGCTTTATATAGAGACCATCTAGTACCTGGAATACCTAAAAAACGCAAGCGCACTGACTCAAATGACTCTATTTTATGTTTCGTTTAAATTGAACTTTAATAAATTATTCTAAATTGTTGTATGAGAAAGGACAAAGAGTTTTTCCATGCGAAAGAAGGTGAAATATCTTTTTAGAGAGCCTCATTTTATGATTGTCTATCTGGCTGGCTTGCCATAGATCTAGGTATGTCATTCCAGGTCAAACATGCGTTGCATTTCGCTCTATATACAGTATGAAGAGATAATGATGATGGGATGATACATACCTTTGGCAACGAGGCGAGCACCTGCTGCTTGACATCCCAGACGAGACGCTCCGATGGGAACTGCAGACACTTGTAGACGTTCAGCTCCGGCACATGGATGCGCACCAGCAGCCATCCGTCTCGTGGCTCTGGCGGCGGTTCATCGTCAAACGCACCCGGCCCGGACGTGGCGTCCATGTTGGCCGGGTTCTGTTTGACTTTCGGTGTTGGTGGGTGATACGTCGTAATTTTGACGGCTTTTCTCTCCAACTCTCTCTCTCTCTCTATCTCAATCAATGTTCCCCTGTGTGCAGGCAGGGGCTTCTTCTCCTGTGTGTAAACACTTTCCTTTCCTTTCTTTCTATCCTTCCTTCCTCTTGCGGCTTACGATTTATCGATTCGACGATTCCCTAATGGTATTCTCTCTTGCTCTTCGTTTAAGTTGAATGCTTATTTGATTGGTCGGTAGGTTGGTGCCTTTTTCTGGTGGAACGCGTTTCGTTTGGACATTTCGTTGAAGGTTTTAGTACTCTTCCGTTGACTGGGACGCATCATGGATCTCTAAAATGAGCAACAAATTACACACGAAGAGACATTAACATTGGATATGGCATTGGCACTTATAATTTTTAATCTCTCTATTTAATGGTTATTTCATTTAAGGCCTAAACCTTACTTCAACTTTAACATCAAATTTGTACATTATTTTTTCGCCTTTATTTATCTTTTTCTGTTGGATAAATGCACTTCCATGGCAATTTCATTCACATATTCACATAAGACAAACCATTTAACCCATTGACTGTGACTCCCTCCTCCCGTACTGCGTATTGCTTCCCACCCACTGTCTCCCTCTTCACGTAGGTGAAACCCGTTTTCCACAGCACTTGCCGCTGGCGTTACTGAATACTTAATTTGTAAATTGGTTTACATTTGCAGCAAACCGAAACGCCGAACCCTCCATCAATTGGAGGAGTCGACGCAATATCTGTCGTCTGTCAATGTGTCTCTCAGACTCACCAAAGGAGATGTAGATGGAGACTGGGACACTGGGAGACAGTTCCAACTGGCGATACAAACGAGAGGGAAAGAAAACCGCATAAAGCATTTCTTGTGGCAGTAGTTTTGGGATATTGACATTTTGTATCTGCCACATTGCGTGGCAATTGCAGTTGCAACTGCAATTATGCACAAATTAAATTCACACGCTAAGCTCCACCACGAAAGCAAAGGAGAGGGTATGTGGAGAGGGGCTGTATAAAGGCTATATGTAGAGCAGAGCATGTAAATGTGTGCCACAGTGTGCCGCGCGCTGACAGTTGTCGCTTTGTGAACCGGCACCGGCTGATGGAGCGGTGCGGGGCCCGGGGCCCGGGGCAGAGGTAACTGCTGGCGGCACACTGTGGGCGGAACGGGTTACCCACCAACAAGTCTGCACTTTGTCGCATTTAATTGCGGAGCGTGTTGATGATTGCATTCAACTAGTTACCACTGCGAGGGAGGGGTTGAGTGCACAAATGGAAAATGCTTGCAGGCATTGAAACATAATGAATGCGATGAGGATGTGCCATCCAGGATACATGTGTGTGGGATTAAATGAGAGATGAAAAGGAATTCGCATCACTGCCATCCATTGAAGAGACACAAAGAGACTTTCAAAGATAACAACTAAATGGTTGGCAGTTAGAAATGTTACATTTAGTTGAAGAATTATTCTCGAATGAATTGAGTTCGTACAGGTTCTTTATCTCAGCTCAATTAATATATAATAATAACCTTCTCCCATTAATACCCGGAGTGTTGTGTGCACAAATGAATGAGTGACACCCTGCCTGGTTCACTGCCCCCGTTGAAAAAGTCTACAAATAATAAATAAAAGGCCAGAGAAAGAATGAAAAAGATGTCACGGTCAAAAAACTTCACCGAAATCCATATATTAAATGATAAAGTATGTATGTACGTAAATACGTGAAATGAAGACTGCGTTTAAACAGGTGAGACTCACGACAGAGGCAGAGGCAGAGGCAAAAGGCCCGTTTACCTTGGCCACCACGCACCTGTCAATCAAACCCAACCATAAAAATACTTCTCAAATGGCTCAAGTGAAATTATCAGCCAATGAATACGCAACCACAACAATCGTGCAAAGTGGGAAGAGAGGCACATACACACATACACTTTTGATAAGACCGGAACGCGGCCAAGACATTGATATTTGATAGGCAAAGGGGCCATCGTAACGGTTGATAAGCCGAAAGTTTTGGTTGGTTTTGGATTTTAGTGGCGCTGTGCTTATAGCCTCAAAGTACGCGTATTTAATTGGAGTCGAGTCATACGCCACGTGGCTGGCGCATATCATTCGGTTGGAGGTCATTCACGGGGGGTTCAATGTTGTTCCTAACCAAGCCAGAAAGATTAAATCCGAAGACCAATAAAGACCAAGATGGTGTTGATTCGCTGCACAAAATCTGTGGGATTATGTGGAAGATTAATGAAGTTAAGCGGGGCACTCCAATAGAATATGTTCTAATGAAATCCCATTAAAGTATCAGCCAAACCATAAACCTAAGACTGAATCAGTATAGCCTACAATAAACTAAAAAATCTATCTTATTCTTTGGCGCTCACTGCCGCAAATAGACAGTCAATTCCACAGGTAACACGGGTCAGGTCATTGGTTTTATTTGGTATGTAATTTGGTAGTACCATTTAATTGATTTTTCTAGAGGTTCCTTCATTCCGGTCAGTCAGTTTACTTTTAATTTGAAAAGTTGTGTACTGTATCTATAATGTGGTTTGATGCTGCTGGACAGCAAATGGACCCTCTCCCAACGCTCTCCCATTCACTGATTGCCAGCGATTTTTCACTTGAACTAATGGGAAAATTATGCTCGACCTTTGCGAATGGTCGATGGGGTGCTTGGCAGTGCTCCCTACGCCAACTGCCAGTAAAGTAAATCAAAATTTATTTTGCCATTTTTTGCCCCCTTTTTGTGTGAGTTTTGTGTTAATTTGTTTGCAACCCCCAAGGGGCGAGGGTATGAGCATTCCAGACAGTTGGACAGACAGCTGTCTTGCGGCTGTCAAAGTACAAATTTCTAGCACAAAACAGAGTGTCCCTGTCCCTGTGCCTGAACTATCAATTCCTCTTCTATCAGCTGTCTGTCTGGTGTGTCTCCCTGTCTACTGTCTGTTGTCTGTTGTTTTCGGTCTAACATTTATTTGGTTTGCATACTGTGGACACACACATGTGGAAGAGTGTCAAAGTTATAGATTTGTATTTCATTGATGACCTTTGAAGGACCTATGTACTTCTTTCGTTCTTCTTAATTCCATTGCCACTTTATCTCTTTCTCTTTTTTCAGCCAGCTCTATTTTCTATTCTTAGTAGACTTTTGCAACGCCCACAGTTTCCATCGATTGTTTAATTCTAGTTTGTGCTCTACTTCTACCAAATGACATATTAAATATTTAATGCACTGCTGCTTCCATATGGTTTCTGGTTTTTGGCTCAACTTCTTGTTGCACTTTTCATTTTCCATTTGCCATCTGCAGGCGAAATGTTTTCATGGATTTTTGGCACATGACAAATGTTGAGCGCACAACACTTGTCAGCAGTTCTTTATTTTTTGTTTGCGAGGTTTTGGCCTACTTGACAGCGACTTGCCAGTGGTCTTAAGGGTTCTTTCCTGCACTTGTTGCCTTCCTCATTGCCAGGGCAGGGGCAGAACGGGTCACCACCTCCTCGAGTTAAGTGTTTGTGACACTTGCACTCTCTCAAGGCTTTATGGAAGGCGGTGAAATTGTATTTCGGCAAAAGTGTGACAAACTGGAAATGACACGAGTCAGCCGGAAAGAGTGAGATGGAGAGAACGACAGGTTAAAGGTTGTGTGGGGTCAGAGGTCATCTGTGTGTAAATTGCGTTTCAAATATGCCACACCGGATTGGCTTTGGTTGTTGGATTAGTTACAGCATCGAGCGCAGGCCCTGCAGTTTCTCAAGAGACCCCATTTCAGTGGGTTAGTGGAGAGAGCAGCCCTGACTGCGACAATGCGACCGAGTGCTGCAGTTGCATGTGGCACAGACACAGGGACACACTCTCACACGCTATGACGGTAATCGGAAAATACACTCGTTTATGCATAAAGCTCCATGCACATTTGAAATTGCCTTTTGCTGCCGTGAGCAGTGGGACTCTGTCGTCTCTCGTTTTGGGGACGAGGGCGAGGTCGTGGATGGTATTGGTGGTTTCCAGGCTCCAGAATAGAGCCACTCTGTTGTGGCAGCCAGCATCAAGCGTAAGACGAATGCAAAATGCACTCCCATCCACAGTCCACCCGCATGGAAAGCTTCACTTAATGGTAAACTACGAGTATTATTATTCACGCTGCACTGTGGAGCGAAAAGGTTGTAGGAGATCTTTCACTTGCAAAACAGCTCTTAATGAATTCTAATGGGAAGATTTGCCATTTGATAACTCTTGCAGGACTTTAATATTTTGTCATACCACTGTGACTCACTCGGCCTTCGACGCAAACGGAAATGCGCTCATAATTCTGTGAGGAAACATGCTACAAAATGGCGCCCGAGCTGCTGGTAGCTATGGAAACTTTAATTGAATAATATTATATGCAATTTAGTCCGGGAATTGTGACTAGCTTCTGGCGCTTCACTCCCACACCCACAAAACAAGCCAGACTCTGTGGCTGAGGCTCAGGCTGAGTACATTCAAAGATGTTTCTGGCTGAAAGCATCTCTTGGCTAATTTATTTTTGCCATTTTCTGTTTATTCCAAGAGCCAGCAACAGAAGCAGAGGAGGAGCACGAACGAAGCGTAGCGAATCGAAAGCAAAATAAGAAGAGAGAAAACTTTAACCCCGACACTTGTTTTCCAGTCACGTTCATTTTCAATCAAGTGGCATCATTATGCTCCCAAACAAACTGAAGATGGAATAAAAATCCTCAAGGGAGAAGCCTTCAGAGAGTGGGAGGAGCAGTTCGAGCAGTGGGAGGAGGAAATGCTCAATACAATACGAAAAATTAACTCTGACCCTAGAGTCAGGGCCCCCACCCCGTGCCCTTAACTCTTTCTTGTGGGCAGCAATCAGTCCTTTGTCGGAGAACATCAGAAGCACCACAGAGACCACCAACAGCAAATGCAGCAGCAAATCAACTGCCAAATCAACTGAAACTAAAACTGAAAGCAAGCAAAAACCGCACAACTTATGCGGTACACCGAAGGTGGCCCTATCCTGTTACAGGAATCCACGTCCTCTTAGAAAGGTAGACACAGATGCTGCATCTGTGGGTGGGTCTACTTAAAGGGAAGGAAAAACACTTTTCGATAGTTCGGAATCGTTTTGGCAGCATTTCAAAGCAAACGAGAATAAGAACAAAAGTTGTGGTAACAAAATGCACAAAATTTAGTCATTGGATATTCAACAATATAATTATGCCAAAAAACCGGTTTCTGGCTAAAGTATTATTTGCACACAAACTGTTTATAATATTTGCATAATTCCAGAAACAATCATTAATCCAATGATAGGAGATCAATTAA